TCAGTCTCATCTTCGAACCCGACTGAGATATTGTTAAGACTGAACTGTGTAGAAAATTTCATCGTAATCGAACTCTTCTTTCAAAAGTTATCGTGTAAACGGACGGCCGGACACACTGACCGATTCTAGAGTGTACTCACTTTTTGAGTACACAAAAAGTCGAAATACTTTACAAGGATGCTTTCAAGTTTTGATACATTCTTTTCAAAAACTTTTTAATATTATCGTGCACAATATTCAGGTATCATGTGTTAAACATCTCTTGCCAGAGTAATTTATCTTATCTACAAGGAATACTCTCAAAGTTTTTCACCAGCCCTTTAGACTATTACTCAACTGCGGGTTCGAGTGTTTTTTTTTCTGAGTATCGTTCGGGTGCACATATGTATTTTTGTGCAGTCAATTATACAACATCAGTTAAATGGATTTTCAGATCATATTTTGTGAGATTGACTGTGACTGTTTGTAACATGTACTCATAAACAGATTCATGTTGTTTGAAATGAATTCCAATCCTGTGTAGTTGATATTTTAGTTTTGAAAGTAGAAAAAAAGTCATTTGAAATTAGTTCTGTAGAATACATTGAATTTGAATATGTTTTCAAATTACTTTTCTGCCAGAAATTGGTTGATTTTATCAGGAAAATATAGACTTGAAAGATTATCATTTAATTTCACTGTCAGTTGAATTTAGAAACTTGGACTAAACTACTTTTGACAATGAAACTTTCGTTTACAATACTCTAATCGCATGAACTTGATGAAATTAAATTTTGTGAAGATCATTTGGAATGATTTGTTTGTCAAACCTCTGGTTTAGGCGAGTCTCAGTAGTTCGTGAATGACTTTTTAATACCCGAATTTTTGACTACTCTATTAGATTTCTATTACTATGATAAAAATGGGAGCTATCATTAATGATGATATAGAATAGTGGATGAATTTTGATGTTTCTAATTCTATTAAGAAAATAGTGATGCTATGGAATATCGCACTGGTTTCAATCATTTATGAGCTGAAAATGCACTCGTTGAGCACTAAACTTTTTCGAACTTTACATTCGTAAGTCTAATCGAAAAAGAATCACTGAAGAAACGATGGTCGGTATGTTCTCTATTTATTCATATGCTCAGCGAGAATAATCTACAAATGTTACTAAAACAGCGATGAAAGTTTCATTATTGACAACAGTAGTTGGAGAGAACTCTAAATGATATACGTATTTAGTGCTGAAATTATTCGTTGAAATCTATGAAGTCAATTGATTAATACAGGACGTGGAGGTGTTTAGTCTCAACATGCTCAAATGAAATGAGCACGGCTATGATTTTATGCTAAGCCAATTTGCTAGCTGCGTAAAAGTGTTTTCTGAAATTGTTCTCTTGAGAATTTGAAAGGTCTTTAAAAAATGCTCAACCGTTCGTCTTCAAGAAATTTGAGAGTACAACGAATGGAGAAACTTGTGAGGTTAAAATTTTGCATATATTGATAAATGTGTTTGAACATTACGATAGATTACTGTGGTTTTGGAATTTTGAAAAAATAAATTGCCTGCGTTTTGTAGAATCGATCTAAATTTTCACATGATCATAAAACTAGTTTGTTGGCATGATTATTCATCATACTGTGATTGAAATAAATCCTTGATACACTAATAAATTGATATGAACTATGTCCTTAAATGAAACTGTTTGTTTTCGACCGAAGAAAAACTTTATAAAAGAAATGATAAAGTGATTCGAAAAACTTCAACAGTACTATGCATTGAGTTATTTGTCTTATATAGAGAAATTTTGTTGTTTTACTAGTTGATCCTTGTTATTTCATTTTGTTTTAAAACAAATCATTCAAACTTTTTTTTGCTAGTGCAAAAATGTGTACGAAGCCATTGTAGAATATAAGATTTGCATCGAATTATTGAAAAGAAGTGCAAAGGTAATCAACTGTATTTCTTCTCATTTTACGTTGTATTAATACAGCTCATACATAAAACAAGAAAGATACACTCATTTATTGGGTAACAAGAAGGATTAACTTTGTGAATAGTAAAAACCACTGATTTTAGTGATGATAAATGATCATGCATCAAGAACGAGATCACATGTCGAAAAATTATCTCAACATGATCAAACATTTGAACATCAAGTGAGTTCTTTGGTAACTTTTTTGTTCTTATCTTTTATTATTGTTTTGATTTAGTATTCTTCATCATTGGAACTAAATCCACGAATTACCTCAGTTATTCATATTTCTGTCAGACCAACTAGTAGTGCCTGTCTGCCTTTAGATAATAAAGACAAGAAGAGTATCAATCATGTATGAAGATCTACAATTATTCTATATTTATTTTATTTCATGTCTGAATAGAAATCAGCAACTCTCACAACTTATCAAAACCGTAGTAGATTTGAAAAATCAGTTAATAAAGAACATTTAAACAAACGATCAACAAGTACAACATCTTTTGTCAGTGTGACTAAAATTCACCGTCCATTATCACAGGTTAATTTGAATAATGACTTACATAAAGAGTGTTCCATAAGTTATGAGCCTCAAAAAAAATTAGTTTATATGTAAGTAAAGAATGCTCTTTAGAGTTAAGGTACAAAAGATAGTTACATTCACACATTAGATGCTACGTATTACTTTGTGTAATTGTCTTACGTTACATACGATGAAATCATAGTTCATCAGAGCTTCTTAAAAAATACTAGTCGATTTCGATATTTTAATTTATCACATGTCTTCTTTTTATGTCAATATTATTAAAGATGATACTGTCATCGGATAATGTGCCATTGAAAACATCGTTCTAAATACTCGAAGCTTGCATAGATATTATTGCATAGGAAACATTCTTTGTTTACATATGAATTCAGTTTCGTTGAGATGCAGAACTTATGGAATATTCTCTATTATTATCCGGTTTTTGATTAAAATAATCTATCATCAGGAAATTAGAGACGTTACTAAGATTTAGGATAAACAATAATCATAACAAAAAAAATATTATTCAGATTCATTGTATTACTATGAATTCAACAAATAAATAAATAAAAGAAATTGGTTCACGTAAGTCTTTGTTGATGTCAAGCAATCAACAAATATGGATTTCATCAATCTCAAGTATATACTTTTTTCTTAATGGCTTCTTCAATTAAAACTATACCTCGAGGTTGACATAGTCATTCAGTAGATAGAGTATGCGTGGAAGAATCTACTTTCTTCCTCATGATTATCGAATGCTTTTAATTTTCTCCAGCGATAAAAGCAAATTTTGTTTATATTTTATGTTTTTCATGTGAGATTTTGGGGCAAATACTTTATATATCTAACTCAATCTTTGATTTATCACGTAGTCACTGATTAGAAATGAAATTAGTTAAATATATTATTATAAAACTTAATATATTTGTAATAGTTTCGTCAAAAGTCATGGAAATCTACTAATGATTTAAATCATAAATTTGATAATGTGAAAAATTACGAAACAAATTCAACTATCAAACATCATCAGTGTAGAACAGTCAAAGTAACATATTAATAGATAACTAAAAAAGAAATCCTTTACGTTTAAATTTAAAAATATTTGTTTAGGATACTATTACCAAAAAAACAATCCCAACAAAATGTATTAAAAATAAAAATGTAAAAAAAATACACTTAACATTTTTCTTTCTACATTCAATATTCTTATAAATGTAGTTATTGGGAACAGTAGAAGATCTAGCAAATCCCATACATCAATATCATCATTCAGCAAAGAATAAAAAGATAAAGTAAGTACAAACAAGAGCATATTTATAGTGAATTTTTCAATAATTAATATAGAAATTGGTTTGCATATTTTTGTCAATGTTCACGACGACGGGCATGCGTATCTTTATTTTGTCTTATTCTTTTTTGTATAATTATCACTATTATTCTTCTTGTTATTCTATTAAACAAATCGAAAGCAACAGCTGTTGAACCTTGTAAATGTCTTTCCATGAAAAAAAAAAAATCGAAAAAGTTTTTGCTTTTTCTGAAATTCACCGAAGAACAATAATTGAAAATTTTCATATTTTTGCCTTTAGCTCTTATAGCTATTCTTCGTTGGAATACTACTGGTATAACATTATTTGGTACTACAGGCATAAGAGGAAACACATCTCAACAATTTTCCAGTCCTTTTGGTTTAGCATTGGATTCATTCAATAATCTCTATATTGGTGATAGATATAATAATCGAATTCAACAATGTAATATCAGAGGATTAACTTGTACAACAGTAGCTGGTCAAGCAAATGCAGTACGAGGAACTAATATGAGTTATTTGAATGGACCTACTTATATTTATCTTGATTCAAATGACAATTTATATATAGCAGATTCTGATAATTATCGAGTTCAATTTTGGAGTTATGGTGCATCTTATGGTAAGACAATAGCTGGAATTACAGGTAGGAAAAATAATGTTTTTCTGTTTTACTACTTAATAATTTTGATCTTTTCTCTAAAACAAAAAACAACCTATTCAATAAAATAGAAAATCATATTATTTATTTTCAATTAAATAAATTCTAACGTATTTCTTATCATATTATTGAATATTGAAGTAATTATGATTGTGCTTATAGGTTCTTCGGGTTCTGCATTAAATCAATTCAATATTCCATATGGCATTGCACTAGATTCTAATTTAAATACAGTATATATTGCAGACTATAATAATCATCGTGTTATGAAGTACGTATCAAATAGTGTATCTGGTACTATTGCTGCTGGTGGAAATGGCTTCGGAACAACTAATACAAAATTATATCGTCCTGCTGGTCTTTATTTCGAATCATCAACAAATAGTCTTATAATTGCTAATTTTGGTGCAAGTAATATTGTTCGTTGGATCTTAGGTGATAATAAATGGACAATTGTTGAAGGTGATACTAATGGATTAAATGGTAATACATCAACACTACTTGATCATCCTACAAGTATAACATATGATCCAATGGGTAATATGTATGTAGCAGATATGTTTAATCATCGTATACAAATGTATCCAGTTGGTCAATCAAATGGTACTACAATTGCGGGTATATCAGGAGTATTTGGCAATGATTCAACTATGCTTAACTATCCTGTTTCGATAATTCTTGATAATCAACTTAATTTATATGTTAGTGATTCATTTAATCATCGAATACAAAAATTTATCCGCTATTAAATTTCATGTTGTTGTTTTTTTTTCTTATTTTTAATATAAATTTTCTTTTTGATCGTTTCGAAAATTATTTATGATTGAAATAAAAGAAAAATACTAATACTGATATCATGATCAAGCAAATTTGTCTTTTTTTTTTTCGTATTGTTTTGATTGATTGGGTATAAAACAAATGATATTTGACTTCTTGACACCTAATCCTTTCCCCCCTTATTGTTTTTTCTTGACTTTCATTTGAGTCGAATAGTTAGAAATCAGCAAGATTTAAAAAGTAGCAGGTGCATAGAATCACATACTAACAGTAAAAAAAGAAAAAGAGAAAAAAAAGAAATTTCAACATTGCTATTGTTCGTATACCAATAAAAAAAGAACAAGAATAAGAATGTTTGAGTCTACCATATTCGAACAGCCTTATAGATTTATTGCTCTACTCGGCATTATATTTTTAACAATTTTATTATTTACAACTGCTTGCATCTATCTTTTTACTAACCGTAAACGTAAAAAACAATCAAATGCTGCACTGGCACAAAAACGTTTACTTTATTCATCACCAGCATCAATAACACCAAAAATACCAACAAAAGCAACAGATCGTTTTGTTTTTCCATTACCAAAATTAGAAAATACAGAAACATCATCAAAAATAATTTGTGAAACATTACCACAATGTTCTATTGGTGAAATTCCATCAAATTATAAAACATTTGATTTTGCTAAACGATATCAAAGACATTTATCATCGGATTCATCATATACAAGTTCAACTAATCGTCGTTCATATCCTCCGCCATCATTTTCATTTGATACAGTTAAATCAAAAATTCAACAAGTTCATTGTCGTTCAACACCATCACCAATCTTATGTCGTCCACTTGAAGCAATTACATCTGAACAAACTTCAAGAGAACTTTTATCCGATTCTGATGAACAAGATAATGAATCATTAACAACACCAGCAACACCTTCATTTGAATATTCACTTTTAGAATTATTTCGTATTGATATTATTTATAAATTACATTATTCAATTGATGATAGTCAACTTTTATTTCAATTAATACGTTTAGCTTCTACACAATCATTAATTGAACGTTGTTTTCCATCATTACTGTGTAAAATTCGTTTATTTACAAATAATGATAAACGTAAAAATAAAAAATATTTTTCAAAAAAAGATCCAATTAATGAAATATTTAAATTTGATTTGGATCAATATACATTAGAACAGAGTTATTTAAAAATACATGTATTAGGACATCATAAAAATGATAAACGTGTAGAATTAGGTCATACTGTTTTTGTACTTAATCAATATGATAATTTAATGATACGAGCTGGACATCATCATGATGGTGGATTGGCAGCAAGTGAACAGCATACAAAATCTATTCCAATAAATGAAGATCGAATCGATATGATAACTCAACAACAGGTCAAATGAATTTATTCTAATTATTAATTTTTTCTTTATTCGAAATTTTTTTGTCTTGTTCTTTTAAGATATCATCTGAAAATGAAGCTCGTGCATTAATTTCTTTGGTTTATGAAAATGATCGATGTTTACTTCATATTGGTGTAATAAAAATAATTGGTATTCAATGTTTACTTAAACAACCAATTGGTCATTCCCATCATCGTGGTAAATTTATTTATTTATTTGTATTTTTTTTTTCTGTTTTCAATTGAATTTCTTTTAGATCTAATTCAAATAAAAATTTGTACAATTGTTGATGGAAAAATAACAACAAAAAGAAAATCAAAAGCAATTATAATAGAGAAAAATCTTTTTACATTTAGTACATCATTTCATTTTGAATATCTTTCACTTCATAAAACATCTGTACGCATAACAATATGTTATCGTAAAACATTAATGACTTCTCAAAATAAACCAATATCATTAATTGAATTTGGTTCAACACAATTAAAAAATCAACAAGTTTTTCAACATTGGACAGATACATTATCGGAACCGAATCGACCACATGTTCAGTGGCATGCACTTCAATCGATTGATACAATTAATCAAAAATGAAATATTCTCTTTTTTTTTATATTCGACTTATTTTTGTTGTTTTGAAAAATACACAAGAAAAAAAAAATAAAGAATTCATTAGAACGATTTTTTTTTAATTTCATTTCTCTTGTTCCATTAAAGATTCAGATTGTTGTTCAGTCGTATCATTCATTTTTGTTTGCGCATTGCTTTATGTTGATAAAGAACTTGTAGATGTTGATTCAACTTGTGCCATGTTACAGGATGTTTCATCTGTATTTTCCTCTCTAATTTCTATAAATAAAGTGTTTTGTTTATATGTTGATAAAGAAATACATTTTACTTTTATGAGTTATTGGATCTGATCCACAACAATAATCTTCAATTCCTAATGGATGAGATATAGCTCGTTTCAATTTCTAAAACAAAAAACAACCAATAATTCGTATTTTTTTATTGCATCTTTTTGATTGCAAACGTTGTTATGTCTTATTTAAGTGAAACAACATGTTTATTTTCTAGAAATAAACTTATCCTTCTGCTATTAAATAATCTTTTAGTTGTGTTATATGTGCCATTCCGTAAATTTTTTTGATCTCATCGAAATTAAAATGAGAACATATATTTATACATGTCCAAGGATATTCCAATCGATTAAACTAACATCAATAGCTACGCTCGAATCTCATAATCAGAATAAAGTATATCTACATTCTAAAATAGATGTCAGTTACGAAACTTAAAAAGGTTCTTCGGGCAGATATAAACTCGGAAACTTTTATTAGTTTTGTACCAAAACCGAAAATGTTTTGTACGAAAAGCATTTTGTCTTCTTCACTCTACGAATCTTTCAAAAGATTTCGTGCTTTTTATGCGGAACTTTTTTGAGTTTGGTATGAAACCAAAAAACAAGTCCTGAGTTTGTATCCGAGCTAAGATACTGTTTTGGTTTCGTAATAGAAATGTTTGTTTTTTCGAATGTGTGAGAATTCGAAAAAAAAACCATTAATAATCTTGAGCTAGTTTTTCTCAAGAGTCACACCAATGAGACTCAACAGTACACTATCAATGGTTCATCAGTAGAGATTGTTTTTTTTCTTTTACAGAAATTTATTTTATATGATTTGTAAACATAATCTATGATATAAATAAAGATACTACATTACTATTACCAGAAATCAATAATAATAACAAAAAATTAATGAAGTATTATATAAATGTTTTACACTAAAGCATTATGACAACGTTAGATTTCATTTTGCGAACATGGATTTATCTCAATATTTATGCGTTATTTATAGAACTAATATATCATTCAAGTTATGGAGATCATGAATGATTGAAATAATACTTTTCCATAATATAGAATGTTTATTTAGTCGTGTAATGGAGTATTTTTACGTGTACATCAAAAATTTTCTTCCAAAAAAAAAAACAGATGAACGTATTCTATCTAAAACTGATACTCTAATACATTCGTTAACTCATTATAAATTTCTAAGTCGATTCGATTTAGCTCTAATAAAAACCCGAATTCATCATTTTATAGAAATTTTCTTGTAACTAGCAAAAAAAACAATATTCACAATCAAAATGTAGACATTTCTTATATGTTGATTTTTGTCTAGAACTTTACACTAGTTTATTTCTTCATTACTTCTTTAACAGAAATTTATAAATGTAGATTTTAAAAGATAAACATTGACTTACATCACTAATATCATGTATATGCAGGGAGTTCATATTTAAGTTACGAAAGTTTTACCAAATTAGTTGATTATTGAAATAATGTGTCAGCAATTAATCAGTCTTGTATAAAATATAAATGCGTACATTTGATATAGCGATGTTAAAAATAATTCTCTTTTCTTGTTCTTTGCTTATTATCGTCTTCATCGTGAAGAATTAAAAAGTCTTCGTTCTTTGCACTTACTATCTTATTTGTTTTTCTGATCCTGTGCACGGATGACCATTAGCACTCGTTGACATCCAACATATAATCATATCACATTATTTTATTATGTGGTTATTGTTTTTTTGCAAAAGCTAATTCTAATAAAGGATAAAAATAAAATTAGAACAACAAATATTAATATAATATATCGTTTATTTGCTGACATGCCCATGCTTTTTTTTTGACCATATTATTGTTAATAGATCAGAAACAATTTTTGAAATTTTAAAAAATTGATAAAGTAAAAAAAGATTCAAGTATTCAATAATCAAACTATATATTCTTTATGATGAGTTTATTTTTATTCAGTTTTTACAAAACAACAAATAGTAGGACAGTACAAGGACAGAAGTATAAAAGATAATTCTATTCAATAATGTCGTTCACTTGAAATCTATTGTTTTATCAGAGTTATTGAGTAACAGTTATGAGAATTAAGCATAATTTAGACCACAAGCAATGAGAAGACAAGAATGGCAACGAAAATCTTCTTTACTATTATCATCAATTGGAACTGAACTATCCGGTAGCGTTGATTATTGTATTTGTATATGATATGATGCATTTAAATAAAAGTATTCAATTATAACCAATAGGTTTTTTTTTTTATAAAAGAACAAAAAAAGGATGATCGTGTAACGCATTTATTCCAATATTGAATATACCATAGTTTAATAAGGATGATTAAGTCCCGTTTCGTCGAAAGCTTAATTGATTTTCCGGTTTTGCCGAAAATTTATTTTTCTTTCATTTCCGTTTGGTCGAAAAAATAAATTTTGCTTAATCAACGAAGAATAGATAATATCATTTGGTGAGATTTTTCGTCATACTACTTAGGAATAGTGTCTAATTAATTGTAGATCAGTTTGTCAAAAAAAAAACTTTATTATAGAGCAGATTTAGATACATAAATAATAAATTATTAGGAGAAAATATGAATATAGAAAAGAAAAAAAACAACACTTTTTTTATTCTAATTAGTCCCAGAAATTTTTCAAGAAATTTACTCAACGTTAATGTTTGTTGTTTAAAATGTTCGTTTAATTTATGTAATCGTGCATTTCGATTTACAAATAACTTTTTTTCGTGGAGGTAATATACCAGTTGCTAAAGAACATGATGAGAGTGAATGTGAGTGGAAAGAAGAAAACATTCACATCCATCTACAACACCCATAAACGATATTCACATTTCCAATAAACAATTGTATTTAAAATTTGATTTTGTGTGTAGTGAAAAGTATCAAGTATTATATTTGATATATTACGTTTACTTTCAACAATAGATAGCATCATTTTGTGTAATAATCAATGGATGAATATAGAAAAAAAAAAAAAAACTTGAATTTCCTCTTTTCCTCCGCATATTTATACTTTTTCAAAAATGCAGATTACTAGTATAGAGATATCAATTAGTTTCTTTTTAAGGAAATAGTTTGAGTCAATCAAAGCAATCGAGCTTATCACTCTGATTATACTATTTTTCATGACAGTTTAATTTTTCGAGGAAACGGGAATCCATCAATAAGGATATGAATGAGAGATATAATAAAGTTCTAATAATAAAAGAGTCAATTTTTTCAAAAATAATAGTTGAACAACAAAAATTATTTTGCTATAATTAAAACAATTCAATAGGATGTATTTCTTGTAGGTTTTGAAGGTTAAAACGAAATAAATTTCATAAAATCTAGACATCACCTTCTTGTAGTGTAGATGGTTACATAATCACTGGATTGTATGACATTAGTTGAACCTGAGCTTTAAATTTATTTGGGCTTAAATTAAATGAAGATGATTAAAGAACTTGATTAATAGCAGAAAATAATTCCAATAAAGGATAATTTGATTGAATTTTTTTAAGGTGAACGAGAGAGAGATCATCAGGTTGTGGAATCATACCTTCAATTTTGAATTCTCATGTAGCTGGAAGAAGTATTTCATTTTCTTATACAAACTACGAATGTTATGGAATATCTTTTTCACTTTGAGAATCAATAGTGAAAAAAGTTCTGGGTCCAGATGTATCAAGAAATGCTTCTTCATTCAAAACATACATTGATATGGTACATGAACTAAAACTCTACCAGATGACTGATTCTCTTTTTTTATATTTATGTTACACGTCACTTTTAATTCTACAAAAACAAAATAGTTCGTGGAGTTGATGGAAGTCGAGAAAGTACTGTCACAAATAACTTCAAATATAAAAGTCAGAGTTTTAGTGATTAATGATTTTGATTGCAAAGAGTTTTTTTCAGTATATAATAAATACTTTCTTCTTTTGGTTTCCATTCAAGTGCGCAAATAGCATAATGGCAGCTGATTTATCTAGAGAAAGTTCATCTGGTAGGAGTTTCTTGCATCGTTGTTTTGCTGTATAAGCCATTTGTTCTACTTCAGGAATGAACGGAACAAGAGATTCTACAGCTGTTTCAAGTGAAACGAAGGGCATTTTATTATAACCTTTTATAGGTGTCAACATGATTAAAGGTTCATTACTAACATTCATAAATAGTTCATAGGGTGTTGATTGCTTATTATCATTCGATGCGACCATCTTGAAAAAAGAATAATATAAAATAAATATAGTTAGAATAAACTTCGACAGAATAATTGAAAATGTAAATTCAAAGTTTTTATATTGAAACAAACATAAATACTTGGAATTTCAATCAACTTAATGTACAATAATGTTTTCTTTTTATTCATTCGAGGAAAATAAGAACCAGAAAACATTTAAATGGGCATTAATATTGATTTCAAGAAAAAAAAAACGAATGAAAAGTATATTAACTAAAACACATATTCATTTAGTAGTGTTTTTTTTTTCTATATACAAGTTATGTGAAATGGCTTCTAGAATAAATTTCTTTAAAGTAATATAATGATAAAGTTAAAAATTTTAGTAGTTTGAATAATATTTATGAATTTCGTAGATCGATATAATAATAATTGACTTTTTCATACGAAATATTTTTAAAGATTAGTTTAAATAAATCCTCATGATTACTTTTCATTTCAATGATCATCATACAAAAATACTAAACATCAATAAGTAGTAAATATATGAAAAAATGAATAATGAAAGGCAAAACAAAACAATGGAGTGGTACTGAAATACTTTGTTTTACTCTTTCTTTCTCTCTCTCTATCTGTATATGTTAACATGTTTTTAAAACAGTGGTTTGGAACCTATAGAAGATATACAGATGTTAAGAAGTGTAATTCTTCTTCTGGGATTCATGTTAATAAAAAGAACAGATGTTTTTGTGGTAATGTCAGCTCTGATTGAAGTCTATACATATTATAAATTCATCAACTTTCTTTTTTATCCAGGCAAACATCCTTTTCCTTTGTCAACCAACCTTATATATTAAAAATTAATCATTTATACTAAATCTCTATTTCTATTTTCAAGGTAAATATGTCTTCCTGAGTCCTAGAATCAATTTATAAAAGAAAAAACACGAATACATCAAGAAAATATTCTTCACTAAATACTATTCTTTGGTCATGTTTTTCTGATTTATATTAATTCATAATCTTATGTTCTTCAATATACTACGAATTCTTTTTTTTTTTACCTTAAACTTAAATAGGTGATTGAAAATATTTAGATCTTGTTACCCAACGGTATCTGTTGGATAATGCAAAAATTAAATGTCAATTTCATATCAATATGAATTTTATCTTTTTTCATTTTCATCAAATAACCTTTTCAATATAAATTAATAGATCAAGGCACAACTATTTAATAATGTTTCAAGCAGCTATTCTTATAGTATTAATCATCAATGTAAGAACCAAAAATGATTATATACGGGAATTTGCGACGAGTAAAGTGTCTGACATACTTAACCATTTGACTATCACAGTATTAAACTCTCAAGAATGAATTATTGCTTCTTCTTTCATTGAATTTATCAAATGAAAAGGTACGTCTATGTGCAATCACTACAAATCGTGCTACATGTCAACTAACACATCAATTCATCGAAAGAAAAAAAAATGATGTGTTCTTGTGACAACGAATTATTACGAAGAGTTGCAAATATATTACTAGTATGTATTAGTTCGAGAAAATTCGCTATGTTTGGCATTAAATATGATCGATCATTATATAATCGATTGATTATTTTACAAGACATTAAAGAAATGATGTTCAAAAATAAAAACGATTAACTAATAAATTACATCAATCATTTTCTTCCATATTTTTAATGTTAATTTGTTATTTTCTTATGATTTGTTTAGTTATTAATCATAAAAAATCAACAGATTTATTTTGATCTTCTTCTTATAAATTTTACAATCCATATATATTTAATTGATATCTCGGTATAAGCAAATAAACAATTTAGCATTTATCATAGAAACACAAATCATAACACACTAACCAATCGAATAGATTAGTAACAAATACTAATGAAAACAATGAAATATTAATGTATAAAGAAGAAGATTTTGGTAAATGAACTTCACTTGCAACAAATACAAATAGAATCGTATTTGATAGATGTATTGCTAATAGAAAAACAGAACAAATAACTCCATATGTAAAAAAGAAATGTGGTCGTTCTGAAAGTAACAAACTATCAACTAGAAGAAGTAAAATAAGATTATAGAAAATAATAATCAATGCAAATGCCATATTCCAATTTAATAAATATTTTTGTTCTTGTTCAATTGTTATTATCCATGATGAATTATGATAAAATTCCGCATTAAAACAAAGTAAAACAAGACCAATAACTATATTAATACCAAGAATAATCGATGAATAAATTCTCGATAACATATTTGCCTTATAAATTTATCATTAATATAAATATCTCAAAATAAAACAAAAAAAAAAATTGAAAACCAAAGAAATCTTTCAAAGTTATTTTTTTTAATTTTTTTTGAAGAAAAAAAAAAAGAAACGAAGAAAAAAATTTTTTTTTTTAAAGTTGCAGAATAAATTGTCCATTTGGTTCATGAAATTGTCTACCAACATATGTAACCCATGCAATAATACCAACAATTAATGTTAATGAAAGTAATCCTAAGACTGTGATCAAAAATTTTGATGAAAGTAAATTAAATATTTTCAATTTACTAATTTCATATGTAACACATACGATCAAAACTATATTAATTAGATTAATCATAAAAGTAACATATGCATGAATTGTTGCATAAATATGATATTGTCGACCCAAAAAACAAGAAAAAACAAGTGGCAGAAGAATAACACCAAGTAAAATAATAATGAGACCAAGTATAATCGAACAACAAAAAATAAACTGATATTTAGATGATATTAAAATAAATGTTGTATTGATTATTAATAAACTAAAACCAGTTAATGAATGATAGAAAGCAAGACATCCAGCTAAATTTCCCCAACAAACACCTGATTTCCAATTGGATTTGTATACAATTGTTGAATCTCCTTCCATTATGTGATTTTGAATGTCTTTAACGAACAATAGACAAAGAATAAATAAACAAACATATACATATATATATATATATCGATTGTGACGTATTAAATAAAGAAAGAAAACAACAGAATGACTACATTTCGATTTCATTTTATCAGCTGATTGTAATACAATATGAAATCTTTCTGGATTGTTGTGTATTTTGCTCTTTTCAATATATTATTGATGAATTTCCCATGGGAATACTATTTATTTAAAAACAAAATGTTTGTTATTCTATGTATTTAGCTGTTCATTTCAAATGATAGAACAATCTTTGATAAAGTTAATTATTTTCTATTAATTTAGAAAACAGATAGTAAGAAAATTTATTATATTATTTTCGATGAAAATAATCGAATATGTAAAATAGTACTTAATCAATTTATTCAACCATTTAAAGGGCTACTTCCAAATTGCGGTCAAAAATCACACCTATTTGCGCCCTCACCCACACTGTCGGTCTGCTGATTGGTTTGATCTTTGTCCGCAATTTGGAAGCTACGATTTAAAGTTATTTATTTTAATCAAACTCATTGTATAAAAGGTCATACTGTTCTTCATCTTATTGAATTATTGTAACTGTTTTCATCTCCATGTCACTGAGTCAAAGTACAAAATATTATTCTTTAATAATAAATGCAGTACAAAGGGACCTTTTGTTTTCTGAAAACAATAGTCATTCAGAAAAAAAAAAACTAATAACTCATCTGTAAACGAAATTGCACTTAACAAACCTATTATAAATATGAATTTCTATTTTATATTTGATTGATTTATGTTTAATCATAATAGTGATATAGTTCAAGAACAGTTTATACAGATAAACTGTGTTTTTTTTTTCATTTTCAGTACAAAACAAAAATGTGTTTCTTATCCTTATTAGTATAAATATTCTTTTGTTTATTTTTAATTTTTTTGTATAAATGATAATAATAACTATTCAAGTTTAGTAAATATTTTAACAAAAGCATTCTATAGATAGATTATACTTTGGGTAAAAAATAGAGATGTCGAGGGAAAATAATCAGTAAATGGGAACATGCTGATTGTCTGATGACAACAAAATATTCGATTGCTGTGTGTGTAATATATACGATAATTTTCTCTTGTTTCTTTTGATAAGGCATGATATTTACTGATACATGTTTCAAGAGTTAAGATATTCATTCCATAAAGCTATATTGACCTTTTTATATTTAGCATCTAATGCTAACAACAATTTCCGTTTTACTGGAAATCAAGGTTTTATCGTACGATAACGAATTTTTGTCCAGTATACGCCACGTTAACATTAATATAACTGGTATAGATTATTTTTCAAAAGTTCCCTGGTTGAGATAATTTATCTTAATTGCAAAAATGAAGAAAAGATACTTTCATCACGATGGAAACGAGCAGCGTGACAAGAGATCATATTTACAATGGATTCGTAATGTCTTTTTTTTCTTTTTCTAGATAAATAATTGTCTAAGAGATTTTTTCGAACATTTATAAAGTAATTTAAATTAACGAAAAAAAAAATGAAAGATTTTTATGATACTTTTCTTTTAATTGTTAATATTTAAAATACATTAAATTTCTCTTGAACAACAAATCGAGACAATCTTTTTTTTTTTTGCTTTTTATTTATCATTTATTGACTTTAGAATGATATTACTATAAAAAGAACACATATGTTATAGTTGATATTGTTATTTATAATAAGTAATATAACATAGATAAGAAATATAATGAAGGAAAATTTTTATTTAAATTGACAATTGAAGATGACAAAATGTCAAATCATATGTAATATGTTATTTTAATTGTATTGTATTTTGATCTAATAATAAGTTAATTGACTTTTCTTATTTATTGCAATCGTTTCTTTTTCTTTTTCATATTATTTTTATTTTATTGATCATTTACAAAAAAAGTTTTTATTTATTTAAAATTTAAAATTCCAATTATATTGGATTTTCATTGATGAAAATATAAGGTTACATTGAGTGTAAACTATTTATATATAAGTAAGCTAGTGCTATTTTTGTTTAGCTTGTTACACGAACAAATGAGTTAGAAATTCAATTATGTTCTTCAAAGATATAGATGAATCTTTACCAGTTGTGCCAACAAGTAAAGATAAATGTTTTTAATATACATTAATATAAGTACTTAAATATCAGTACTTATTATTAAATGAAATATATTCAGTATATATATAATAAAGAGCCGGACAAAGAAAACGTGATGTATTATTGAATATTTCTGTTGTGTTGTCATTAACGAAGCCTCAACAGTTACCTGTCATCTGTCACCTGTCATCTACCCTTAACTTTATTTACTAAGACTTGTTATATAAATTTGTCACACAATTATAGACGTCATTGGTGTTATCCGGCTACTTTATTTATCTTTATATTCATTCGTTAGTACTTATCAGTGATGAAAAGAAGACGACACTGACTTTTTTCCCTTCTATCATTCCTTTACTTGTCATATTTCTAATTGAATTCGATCTGTCATAAAGGCACATTTCTTTTCCTTGACGTCAGTATTACTTGTTTTATCATATCATTAAAAAATAAGACTTCGTTTAGTCTTATTGTTGCTATGCTTTCATTTATCCTCATTCTTTTCATTGTTGGTTTGTGCATGTGCGCATTAAAGCATTATTTGCTTCAATTTTCTTCCGTAAAGTACCGACCCGAGAGAAAGAGAGAGAAAGAAAATGTCGGGGAAAAAAAGAAGCAAGATGCAATTATAGATACTAGTATTCCCCAGCTTATAGTCACAAAGTGTTGCTCGGGTATGGATGAGTGGGTGTAGAAAATAAAAAGAAGCAAATTTTTCATAAGATAAAAAAAATATGGAAATATATGAGAAAAAAGACACAATATCTTCAATTGCTTTTTTTCGTTGGTAGAAAAAAAAAATTGAATTCAATATACATTTATTAGCGTATCAGCACTATGTAAATAGAACGAGACGAAAATGATCTTGTTTTTCTCTAATTCTATCAATATTACATATTCAACAACCATGATATAATTTTGTATTGATCTCTTCTATGACTATTTTCTTAGCAATACATGATAATTGCATTTGACGGAATAGTCGATTTTTTTTCCACCCACGACCTAGGATCATCTTTAGAGAATTTAAATAATAATATATTTGCTTAGAAAAACATCCAGAGACAAATTGACAAGCTAAAACATGCAAATTCTAGAAAACACTTTTTTTTCTGTTTTTCTTTGTATGTTATTATCCTATGTAAAAAAAAACAGGTAGTCCAGCTGTTCTATTCATTCGTAAAAACACTTCGGTTCCTACTTTTCTTCCTTTCTCTTTCTAGTTCTTCGTTTTCCCTCCCCCACTGTTTCTATTCGAGCTTTTGTTTGACTTCTTTGCATTTTTTTTTAATGTTCTTTCCGCGTTCATTCATCATAAAAGAATGCATGCACATATATTCATTATTTCTTATTGATGTTGCTTGCGTTTCTCATTGAGTATATTAGAATATAAGTCATATCTACCTATGATTGTTTTTGAGAATCTAACTTCCTTGCTAACTTGTATGTCAAGTATGAGTTTATGAGACTCTTCTTTCAATTCAATAGATAGAAGCCAATGTAGACATTCATTTTTTTCTTTTTGTAGGAGTTTGAGAATGAACGTGACAGATGACTGATAACAGATCTAGAGACACGACATAAGGGGGAGGACAAATTAAGAGAAAAGAGAAACTAAGCTAATACATTTATTATATCAAATTCTCAACAAATAAATGAAAACACCTTTTAAAGAAACTTTGTAAGTATACTTATATATACATCTTCTTCACATGTTTTTGTTCTAGTGAAGAATTTCAATTTTTTTAGTGAGATTAAGAAAACAAATCAAACACAACCATATTATGTTTTAATTGTTATCCAAACTATATTTAGGATGAATTTACTTACATTCTATTATGTTTCTAATTATCTCAATAAGAGTAAAGACTTTGTTTTTTTCCCTCCCCATGTTTTCCAGAGTACAAGATAAGTCAATCCGGGTGTTCATGATTTATCTGAAAAATTTTGTCTACTGTTTTCTATTTACTAGGCAAATTTTATGACATTTTCTATTTTCTTTATGCTACCTGACATTTAGATTATTTGACTTTTTTACATATGACTTTTTTTTTAAAGATTCCATCAACCAGAAACTACAAGGAATTATAAAGACTAATAGAATGAGAAACAAGATACAGTATATAATGAAGGAAGTAGAATTGCTTCATGTGAAAATTCCAATGCATGATTTAATGTTGCTGTAATAAAAAAGTATAGCGACCTTAGATAGACTATAAAATAATTAAACGTACTTATTTCTATTCAGATTTACATAAATAAATATTTTTATTTTATTCATCATGAGATTTTTGTTTTGTCGTATTACCAATATAAAGAGTAGAAAATATTTATTATGTTTTTTCTTTTAAGACCAAAGGAATCTTCTATAATAATCACTTAAGTCAAGATCTGTTCGTTGATTATGTGAGTATATCCTTTATTTGATGATTAATAGAAAATTGAATTGTTATTAATAGAAAAAAAGAAGAAGAAGAAGAAGAAGAAGAAAATAAACAAGTATTGATTTGTCTTTTTTTTTTTTAGATGTTATACTTTTCTGATTAAAAATAAACCAAAAAAAAAGCAAACGAAGCAAGATGATTTTATCCGTTTTATTTGGTATTATAGTAACCGTGTGTCTCGTCTCAACACTAATTTTTTATGCATTTATGCGTTCTCGAGAAAATTTCAAATCATCATCAATGTCATCAATCAATCGAAAACAACAACTAATAAGATATCCTTCAAGACCATCATTCGGTACAATAACAAAAATATTAAATCCTGATTTTTCATTTCGTACAAGTATATCAAGTAATAAAAGTAATCGTTCATCATCAACAGCAAATGAATGTGATGAAAATGAATCAAATTATAAAAAACATAAATCAGTTGAATCAATTCATAAACCAATAACACCATTGCGTTCAGCTAGTATGGTTACAAATTTATTTCAACAACGTCGTCCACGTAGTTCAAATTGGCGGCAAGGTTCAATTGTTGATCCAAATCAAATGGCATTAATTCCATTTTCTCTTCCAATAAATAATAATAATAATAAATATCGACGTCGATCTGTTGCTGTATGCAATAACATAATTGAGCCAAGAGAAAATTTGATAACAACAAATGATTTAATATTACCATGTCTACTTTCATTTTCAATAATCTATTTGAAAAATGCACAAATTAAAATTCAATTTCATTCAATACAATCATTACCTTCAAATATTCATTTTCAACAATTAACTATTAAAGTTAAATTAATACCTGATGGAAAAGAAAAATCTATTCAAATTAAAAAACTCATTGAAAATGAAATAACATTTGAAGATGAAAATAATCAACTTTTTATTTTATTTTCAAATGTTCCATTTGAAAAACTTAATGAACGAAGTTTAGTAATGACAATCAATGGAAAAGATCTAACAAAAAAAACAATAAATATTGGTCAAATTGGAAAAATTAATTTTAATCAAATACATAAATTTGAAAATGAAAATCCAGTGGATTTTATTCATGCAATTGAAAAAATTAAACCAGTAAATAAAAAAAACAATATTTAATTATGTATTTATTTATTTTGTTTTTTATTGTTTTTAATTTTAGTCATCAGTCGAACTTCTTATTTCTCTTGAAAACAATGATGATCGACATATACATGCTCATGTACAACGAATAAAAGGATTAAAAATCGATCAAAAAAAACTTGGTTAGTATTTTTTTTAATTAACATTTTGTATTTTTAAATGAAACTATGAAAACTTTTTTTTTAGATGCAAAATGTTATTTACAAGTAAGTCTTCTTGATCGTCATCGACCATTATTATCAACACATCAAACAAAGATTTATCGATTAAAATCATCAAATTTTATTATCGATGAAGAATTTGATTTTAATATTTTAACATTTAATCCAAATAATCTTGATCGTTTAATGATTATGGTGAATTTATATTCAAATTCAAATAATACAAACGAATATAAATGTATAGCTCATGTTAAACTTGGATCCCCATTATATTGCTCTGGCAGCGGTACTATTCATTGGCAACAATTTAAAGCCAGAAAATCATTTTCAATGTGGCATACATTAAGCAAAGAACAACATTAATGATTTTAAGACAATGAACGAAAAAGAACTGAACGAATTGTGTTTTGTTTTTAGAAAAAAAAATGCTGGAATTCATCATTATGTTTTTTTTTCTCGGTAAATGTCTGTATATTTAAAAAAAACAAAGACAATAAATCAAGACGAGACCCGGTTTAAATAAAACCCCTCAAAAAAGAAAAAACTTGTTCGTGTATCATGTATTCCCTATAAGCTATGAGACAATTTTGTATAAATAGTTATTCTATAAAATGACATCTAATTTAAAAATTGAAGTAAATGAAATCAACTGTAGCACCTGTTGGCATTGAGTACTTGTTTGTATCAAGGTGAAGAACTTCCTCAACATAATAACCGATTTCCTTGATTTTGAACAATGTCATGTTATTTAATAAAAATGTATCTCATATTATTGAAGAAGTGTTCAGGTTAGTTGTTGACAATAACAACCTTTTTAACATGAGTACACTTGATAAAGTCTGTAATTATTCTTCATCATAGAAATTACAGTACGGTTATAAGACAAAAGAAAACTTTTTATTCTTGTGAAAGAGTTTTTAAATGAGAAAAAAAACCAATTGTTCTGTCGTTTTTGGAAACAATTTCTATTTAATGATATTAAATTTTATATTGAATATGAAATATATTTAAATTACTTTCATAAATTAACATTTTCTATTGAAAAATAAAATGAATAGATCGATATTAGTTTATTAGTAAAGATTATTTTAAAAAATTCAATACATTTAAGAAAATATCATCAAAATTTCAATGGTAATATTTTTTTTTTTATTCTACAATATTTGTTTTGTTTTTTTTTGGTTAAGAATAAAAATTAGTTAGAAGAAGAAAAAATAAATTAATTAAGACAAATTAAATGAGAATATTTTGTTTTAGTTTTTCAAAATATTAATATTGTTGATTCTTTCATTATTTAAATGAATAAAAGAATTGTTCTCTTTTTCTAATTAAGATAAAAGCTTAGTATAAAATAAAAAGACAAACACGTTTATGTTATCCTACTATATTAATGGAAAATAAAAAAGTTGACAGATTTGTCCTTTCTCATTAAGAAAAAGCCGCATACTTTTGTCATTCCATTATTATGCTAATTTGATGGGTTAGGTTTATACTTGTCCAGCTATATGTCACATAGTTTTATAGAATTACAAACAATTGCGTAGTTATACAAAGTTTGACTGTTTTACTGTCAGTCGAAATGCTATTTTTGCTGAGTAATCCATTTAAATATATAACTTAATATTTATAAGTCGATTTTCATGAGAAAAAAAAATAATGCTATTTTTTTTTTTTCATAGGTATACTGATTATTCATTAGTAAACTATCGCTGAATATTCAGTTGTTGCATTTATTTATTTAGTTTATTTTGACAAAATAAATTGTTAGTACTGAAATAGCTGAAAAATTGATGAAAAAGATAAGAATATCTTTAAATAGAAAACATTATTTCTCAAGTGGTTAACGTGATACATAAAGATGACTATTATAAAAAGAAAATTAGTCGAAACTCACCTATCTCTACTTCTTAATATGTAATAGAAAAAATTTTAAACCTATTATCTGCTTTGCTTTGTAGAATTTTTTGATAGATAAATTATAATATTATTGACATAAATATATATATGATTGATCGAAAATAAACTGGTGATGATATTCATTGAAACAAATTTACATCAGCAAAGTCATTTGTTACTAATTTTCTAATCGTTTGATATTTGATAAATATGTTCTATAACGTTCTCTGTATCAAACATTTTTCTTATATTTATATAGTTTTCGAAAAAAAGTGCTTCTGATAATGAGGCATATGTCTTTAAAAAAAAAAGAAGCAAAGTGACTCCAATATTTATGTAAATATTAATAGAAGCGTTAATAATATAGTTATCAGATGGTAGTTAGCAGAATGTATATCGTATTAAAGTTATATTTAAATTTATTGATAGCATTTTTCATACTTGATACTAGATTCAGACGACATTAGATAATATTAATGAAAAAAATTAGTCATCGAAAAATTTTATGATAGTTTCATATATTAGATGAATGTCGTGGTTATGGGAAGACAATCATCTCTATATGAAGGTATGAAAGTCTAACTTGATAATTGTCATAGTTTATTTATTTTACTGAGATTTTGGTTTCATTTCAAGTTTTGTTATTTGTATTNNTACAGAACCTAAAAAAAGGTTCTGTAAGAGATGGTTCTGCTACTGGGTAAAAGACAGAACCCTCAAAAGGTTCTGTCGAATTTTTTATCCGTTTTTTGAGACTTTGGACACATTTGGATGCTTTTAGAAATCTACAGAACCTTTTTGAGGGGTTCTGCAAACCTCCTTTTTTTTTTCAGAGTGCGACGTGATTAGTGTATACGAAGAGTTCAAGCAATTGAGCATGAGAACTCTGCATCGCTGAGCTTTTGTATAGAACTACAGCTGGTATTGGTCGTAGAAAATTTGTCGGCTACTGAATTCGTCGCGCGGCAACACTCCATATCACAAAGTAGACAAAAAACAGGGATATTCTTTCTTCTTTCCTCGTAGAAGCTAACTTATGTGTAAAAATGTCTTGGTACAAAAATTTTGTTCGATTTTCGACCACTCGTAGGTTGCAGGATAAAATCAAAATTAGTCAACTAGAAAGAGAATTTCATACTTTTTCTGAATATGTACTCAGAATTTTATTCTAATTTAAACTTGATTCATCAAAAACAAATGTTTGATGGGTACCAAAAACGACGCTTGTAAAAAACACTAGTTTCAAACGTATTAATAAATATGTTTGCTGATTTTTCGGCCATTTAAATGTAATTGAAAAGAGTTGAAAGTAGTCGGTTAAGACTCTAAATTCGATGCTCTTTCTAAATATATCTCCAGAATTTTGCTTTGACTCTCAGCTAGTCAACTGTAAACAAATACTTGAACAAATAAAACTGTCGTTAATAACATGGAAAACACGCTTTTGCCCTCCCATTCATAATTTCGCTAAAAGGTATTATAGGATAATTTTCACTTCCGATTGTTGTAGATAATTACATATTCTACACAATAATGAGTTGTAATAAGGTAGAACTGAAAAGAATCAAAATTTACAAACATTTTTCGATATCCTACTCTGTACATGAGATGACATTTTTCAAGATAATTGCTTTTTCCGTCCTGTGCTATTTGATATGCAACAAATTCTGATGGTTCGCAATTATATATTAGAAGCAAAGTAAATTAAGCATTTTGTAGAGAAAGATTCATTCTGCAAACTAGTGTATAAAAGCGCTTTCTTTTAGTTCGAAATAAGGCACTTCTAATCAAAATACAATAATAAACTCTATGAAATATTCTGCACAAACGTCGTTTTTAGTTTCCATCAAAACATTGCTTTTAATGAATCAAGTTTAAGTGAGAATAAAATTCTGAATATATATTTAGAAAAAGTATGAAATTCGCTTTCTAGCTGACTAATTTTGATTCTTTTCTGCAACCTACAAGCGGTCAAAAATCGAACAAAATTATTGTATCAAGACGTTTTACACGTAGGTTAGATGGACTAGCGAAAGGTCAAAAATTACAAATCAATTATTTTAAAAATTGAAAAAATTCAAGAGTATGAGAATTCGAATAATATTACAGAAGTCTAAAATCTATCATTTGTTTTACTACAAGGTATACATATTTTCTCTTTCAAGTAGATAATATTAGTTTTCAGTAATGTAACCAAACTTTTTGTGTATGAATAAAAACTTAGAACTTTGCTCTATCATTAGCAAAAAAAATTAACTCGTTCGGTCAAAATACGTAGAAGATGTTCTATTCAGTTTTTTTGGTAGATTATTTGGTGGAGATCTGGCGTAGCCGTTACTCTACACTCCTATGGTTTTACTTGCATATCGAAACTGTTATACCTAAAGTCATAGACCTCTACGATATTCTAAAAGTGTAGGGATCATTGGCAGATGCAGTACCAAACGATATGTCTGGAAACAGAAGCGAAGTAGGTGGTTTAAATTAATCAATATATTATGTTCTATTGATATAAAACAGGTTGTTGCCGTTAACGACTGTGTACAAATAAATATGATAGAAAACAATAATTGTTTTAGAAACTGTGTACAGTTGATGTGTCTGATGCCCTACGCTTTTATTCGCTGGCTGTTTACAGTTGTTGTATTTTAACAGTATTCATCAGCTGCAATTGTTTACGGTCATTGTTTGAAACGACCGTAATGCATCGTTTACCTATGCTGTAAACAGTTAGCCTAAACTGTTGTCGTTTTTCGTCATAATTCATAGGTATACGTCCTTGTATGAGTACAAATGGTTGACATGAATGATTATTGCTATTTGTTTAGGTCAAATCATTACAATTGACTTGTATTTTCACAATAACAAAAGAAAATTAATCTATTTTTTTTAATCTCTATTCGATACTTCGACGATCTATTATATATATTGTATGTATGCACATATATCAAAATCGATTGATAAATTTATAACTTAGCTTAGTAAAGTCTATTATGTTAGGTTTTAGGAGATTACAAAGTATCGAAAATCATTAATGTTCAAAAAGAAAAGAATCAGTCAGTGAAAATAGATTGCAAAGAAATAACATAGCATCGTACCTGTTCAATATATATATATGAAGGCGTATCACAATCGATAGGATTACCACTAATATGTCTATTGGCTTAATAATGTTAACTGAGTCTGTACGAGAACATCGAAGATGACGCCAATACACGAGACCCTCGTCAATGTTAAAATCTTTTATTATTTATGTGCATTGGATAGACCATCATCTGAAACCACCAAATAAAAATTTTTTAGCTCATGTAATGGTCTAAAGAAAAGTTAGTTGATACCATACTCTTCAGCAATACTTATCGAAAATAGTCGAAAATTGTTCTATAAATATCTACTAGAATTATACTCGAATAAGTTAGAGAATGTTTTTTTACAAGACACCAAAAGATAGATCATCAGTAACTGAAAAAAATGAGGTTTTTAAAATACTGTATATCATTTATTTACTCAGGTTATATAGTCGTAACAAGGGTGTCAACTAACACAATTTATGAGTTTATGATGGTTGATTTTTGGCAGTATATCTGTCGCCACTTTATTTATATCAAGAGATCCCAGGCTGAAGTTTTGATATATCATGTGATTTTTTGATTCTCTACAAAATGATGACAAATTATTGGAAAAAAATGTTCTGTTTGGTCCAAAAAGTAGCTGACACTGTCTGGAATCGTGTGAATATACATTCGAGAAATACAATCTCAGGTAATTTTAGATGTCATTCATTGATGAAAATTTTTATCTCAGATAAATCAGAACTTCTTCTTGAATAGAAGGGTATAGACAGTTTCCTAGATAAAAAGAGAAAAATTTTGACCGCCGTACACGACTAAAGAGAAATAGGGAAATTTCGAAAAACTTCTTTTCGTGTAATCGAATAGTGGTCATCTCGAACGATAGGACTTGAGATCTTAATCACAGCCACATGGTTGAAGTTCATTATTAATTGTAATTTATCGATATATAGAGCACCATTCTAGTGTAGCATTTCATGTTGTATGATGATGTAGATGATTTTGCGAGGTCAACCTTATATCGCTAAATTAGAATTTATAATGAATTTCTACCATATGAACGTGATTAGAACTGCAAGTTATATCATTCGAAATGATCACTATTCGGTTGCACGAAAAAAGATTATCTAGACCCCCCTACATTTAATTGCCGTATTCGCATACAACATACAAAATATCGATAAAGATTTTATATAATAGATCGCACAGTTATAGTTTTATTTTTTTTCTCAACATTTTATTTATATTCTATAGTATCATCGCAGAGACAGTGACTGTCATAATTATTGAGTAAATAAAATAATAATGCGATGAATCTGTGTCAAATATAATGGATAAGTCTATTATAGATGATGGTGATTTCTCCAAAGACAGTAAATTATAAAAATTGTGGTTACACCCAGCTATTTGAACATAACATATATAACTAAATATCGTTACCTGAGACGACACTTGTAAATGTTGGAAAATTTTGATTGTCACCAGCGACGTAAAATGCTTTTTATGGAGATTTCCATAGATATATCTCTGCTTTGATCTTGATTGTCTGAACAGCCTCAACTATCAATTCAAAATAATTATAAATAAGAAATTGATTCGTTTTTGCTCTATGTATTCTACATCGAAATACTCAGAAAATTTTTGAAGAAAGATCAATTATTTCTTTGGGAAAATGATTGTAACAGAAACCATTTTTTTCTAGGAGAAACTTCTTCTCGACGTAATTAATTAACTCTTCCTTATTATATTTTTTTAACTCAATGATCATTAAATCAACTTACTTACGTTTTTCAATCGTAAAAAAGCGCAGATAACATAGTTATTCTGTCAAGACGATACAAATAATTTCTCTCTGTTCGTGCATTGGAAATGTGCATTTTCGTTATCTCGAACGTTTTTCACGTACTGACCTTGAATATTTTTCTTTTACGTTCTTATTATCTCTGGACGTCAAAGATCAAAAAAACATTTTTTCTTTCTTATACTTTTGATTTATTTATGACTATATGCTAAACAAGTAATAGACTTTAAACTAGAAATGACGAGAAAATTAAATTCAACGTAAAAACATGTAAAAGAAATCTTGTTTTAGTCATAATAATAGTTTTACTGTATAATTAAAAAAAAAACGATTTTGATTTCTATTCGTTCAATTTTAATATCAAAATATAAATATTATCTTAGAACAATAATGAAACCATTTGGAAAAAATATATTTATTTCTGAACATAATTGTTTCATCATAGGTAAATTAATTAAGAAAGAATCTAATGAAAGACTGTAATGAACATTTTTTCTCGTGTAGCAATAACCTGTCAAAAATCTGCAAGTAACCACAGTTTTGATAAAAAATTGACGACATAGAATGTCATTGTGAATACTATAATTATTCTATATTAAAATATTCTAACAACATTGGAAATCGCATATGAGAAAATCAATGTTAGACTGGAAATACGACTGCATGAGAAATCATCTGTTTATAATAAAATCGATGAAAACGATCCTACTTATAGAGTATCAACCGTTGGCAAGGGTATATAAACAGAATGTAAACTCCTCTTATTTTTCTATAGCATCTCCATAAAATGAATGATATTACACGTTATCTTTGTGAGCGGATGCAATTGTTTGAAAAAAACTCTATATACAAATGATCATATCTGATAATTTGTAAGAAGATATGAAGATATCGGTTTTTAATCCTTTTATTAAACTTGAATAGCCTTATTTCAATGAAGTTTATATGAAAAACGTATTTGATCACCTTTTTTTTCTGTACTCTAATAATTCTTTTTCTTACATCTTGAAATTTAAATAGTACTCATGTTTCGATAGAATTCATCATTGTTAATTATAATTTTGTTGTAAATTATTCAAAATTTTGTTATTATTATTAATGATAGCACTGGAGCTATCCTATTACATCTCAAGGATCGAAACAATTTTTCAAACAATCATATTTAGTGGAAAAAAAAGAACATTATATTCTGATTTCTTCTTGAAATAGATAAACTCATTTGTCTTGAAATTCAATTATTGAATTTCAATGATCTCTATAAACGTGTTTTTTATTTGTAGAATTTTTTTTAACCTAAATAAGCAATATTAAACATAGTTCATGTTTCATTGAATAATTTCCGAATCATTTATACATATCGCGATGTCATGCTATAAAAACCCATATAGTAGTTTTAAAATTTATTTGTGGCAAATTATTTTGAAACTAATATTGACATAACATGCAAATGTTTTCGTGCATGATTTTTGTTTACAGAACAAGAAAACACTCTAGTTACGTCTAGAATTACGATATCAATAAAAGCAGTAGATGTTTTATTAATAAGACATCACATGCAGTCTCATTATCATACAATTATTCACTCATCTGTAATTACTAAATAAAACTTCATTTTTTTCCGTTAATTGTCATAGTATCGTGTTTTCAGAATGAAAATAAATTTGAAAGAAACATGATTAAACTGAAATATGTGTTTTTTATAGGTTTAGAAAAATAATTCTGGAAACTAACGAACTTTTTATCTATGATAAGAGAAAATCCACTTCATGTAAGTAATGAAAGCTGTATGAAAATTTTCAATATAAGGTCTCATTTTGTTAACCGTTATGAAGTGAAATAATAATATTTCTAATTCATTATGACTGAAGTCTGCAATGATGTAATTATAATTTCAATATCTCTCAATTGATTACAATGAAAACTTGAACTATTTTAGCAGATCATAATGACGATCTCGTTCATATATTAACAAGATTTCAAACGAAACTTCAAAGAGTTTTAAAAGCAGTTAATATATAATTATCAATGAATGCTTCGAGATTTATTAAAAATAAAATAGAAAAAGAAAGATATGAAATAATTAAATCATATATTAAAGAAGAGTTCAGAAATCCATAATCATTGTTAAAATGGGAGGATTTTGAGAAAAAAAATCGTCTATATTTTAAAAATCAGTCATTTAAACGACAGCCATTACAAGTAAACCATTATGCTTTAGTATACTTGAAATTATGAATAATTATTTCTACGCTGTTACCATCAGTTGGTGGTGTACCATTAAACATCCATAAGTTCATATGTAGAGGAGCACGAATATAAGGCATTGATGATGTAAATGTTCCTGGTGTTTGATATGAATACAAAATATTTTGATTTGGTAAAGTCATAAAACCATGTTGACTTAGAAAAGAAACCTTATCACGACTCCAAGTAAATTGATGAGTCGTATACGTTCCTTGCAGAGATATACGTGTCTCGGATGATACTTCAGCAATACCTAATGTAGCGGGATAGACTGTATAAGAAAAATTCGGTGCTTCTGGATCTGTTTGACCCCATTTAGCTACTTCGATATCAATTTCATTGGTACGATCAACACCTCCATAAGTAAATAGACCCAATACTACATTAGGATCAAATTGATCAATTGCTCCTTCTACAAACCATCGAAAAGTGCCGAAACCAAATTTTGTATCGCTGTATAATTCAGCACATGTCCATCCACGTGTTGTAGGTGAATAACGAAGTGTCAAATGAAGTTTGTTATTTGCATCGACCCATACATTACTCGAGTTCCAATTGTTCGGACCTTTGATTAAAAAAACAAACAGAAAATAATGGTTTTTATCTTAAATTGATGAAGTCAATAGTTACCTGGTCCACTATTTTGATCGTCTCGCAGGAACCATCGATACCCTGCCCAGTTAATTGACTTCTGAGCATTTATAACCCAGACTATAATATTAGAGAAGATAGTTTGATTATAGATAATAAAACTTTTATCTCACAAAGAACAAATACGTACCCAGAGCTAATAATAAGACTGTCGTAGTTGTTGGTATTGCCCGCATTCTTATGAGAAAATGTTACCGTTTAATGATGCTCTAAAACAAATATATTCTATTACTTAGTCAGACAAGACTCATAAAAAAACGTGTTAAAACTTCATTAAAACAGCATTTTAACGCTTGATTACCGTTAGAACACTGTTTTGGCAATATCTTTAAGGCGAAAAGATCAAATAAGAAAACATTTTTACATGTATTTTACTGAACAAATATTATTATGCTCAATAGCTACTCATTATTTTCTCGTTTTTCAAAGTTATTCAATGTGTTGAAAAGAATTCGTCTTTAGAGATTAGTTTAAACGCACAATGTATAATTAATCTATTCGACGGTCAATTTTTCTTACAACCATTAAGGTTCTTTGTTTTTCGTGTTTGCATGAATAAGTGACGAGAATTGTAAGTATTTCTACACAATATGCACTATCCTCATCTACACAGTGGTTTTTCTTGTGTAATAAAACATGCATCTGGATAAGAACCTTGCATATCATGTAGAAGTGCCAAGTTATGGAAGATTATATGATTAAAAAGTAATAAAGAATATATCTAGACTATTATACATTAGTGTTTAATATTATTCACTGAGTAAAACAAACTTAACAATAATGCAACGAAAAAGTAGCTATCCTTCTGAAGTACTGCATAAACAAAAAAAACACATTGTTTTTATCAAACGGGTATTATTGAAGCGTAACTACCTATTTGTTTTCTTCAGTACATTTCTTTTCTACTTATTCAGAATTGCATTCACACACTGCACATTATATTCTTTTCGATGAATCACATTCATGGTAGGTTTTTTTCCTTTAGTCAAATAACAGTTACATAACATATTTAAAATAACATTTTCCATCTAAGCAAGTAAAGTAAAATATAAATTCATTATGGAAATATTGAAATAATGGATTCGAAGTTCACCAAACATATTTTTATATATGTCAGTTTCACACAATGTCCAGTATTTAGATGAGACTCTTTTAGTTAGAATAACTTTTTATGTACAGTTTCAAGTGTTACTGGTCGTTTGATTTCTGAACTGAATAAATTGATAGAGTTAAAAAGTTCTAACTATGGATTTAGTGTGCTAAAAAATATTTTAGATGAATTCTTAGTTATTACAATCTTACTATTATTTTTCTAACAATAATTTATTAATTAAATTTTTCTCTCTAAGAATATCTATCACAAAAACTAGTCACTCTTATAGAGCAAAATTAAATTAATAAATCATTGCTACAAGATAATAACGAGATTGTAATAAAAAAGAAATTACGTGAACTATTTTTTTTTCCCGGAAACTAGGTATATAAATAGAAATATTTTCTACAGCAATTTATTCAGTTCAGGGAATGAGAATGTGACAAAGCGTTAAGCATCTTGAACGAAAATAAAATTATAAAAGTGTCCGCTTTTTATGATTTTATTTTCCTTAAAATTTCAATGCGTTTTCTGCATTGTTTGTCTGACTAGGTGCAAAAGGATTCAAAGAAGCGAAAGTGTCCTCTATAAATATACCCTCAAACTTTGTTAGCTTGTAGAGTGTATCTTTAATGGTATGTCTATGCAATGAAGAAAAAAATTGGTGAGCTATTCGCTGAGTTATTAATTAATTAAGTTCAAAATTAATTGAACATTTTAGTTTGAGAAGCTTTTTTAAAAAATTTCTAATGTTTCAAATGAATGTTATATTTAGTTTATTCTGATGTAGTTTTGTAGACAACGATTTCTAGAAATAATTTTATAAAAAATGTTAAAGATGACATTTTTGTGTGGTATTTTACTACTAATTAGTCAAAGTTGAGACACTGATTAGTAATACTCTCGTGTTAAAAATATACTTTATTTATTTATCTATTCTAAAACAAAGAAAATTTATTTTTTGTACAAGAGGATCGCTAATCAGTAATTAAACGTCACACAAAAAAGTCATCTTTAATATTTTTTTCTATGAAATTATGTCTATAAAACTACACCAGAATCAACTAAATATAACATTGATATGAAACACAGAAAATTTTTTTTAAAAACGCTTCTCATCCTAAAATGTTCAAGAAATTTTCAAGCTAATTAATTAATAATTTAGTCAATAAGTCGCCAATTTTTTTATTGCATAAGCATATCATTAAAGATATTCTCTACAAACTGACAAAATTTTAGGGCATATTTGGGTGACACTTCTTCTCCTTCATAAGAAATCTTAAACTTACTATTTGTGTTTGTTTGATTATACAATACTTGATACGAAATTTATAATTTGAGTAAATGATCGGTTTTGCCTGTAATTATACCGAAATGAGTTAGATAAATTTGTATCGTTTGAAGTTATCCTGATCAGAAAAATCGTAACTTCTACTAATTAATAGCCTACGATAGTTGTATCCAATATATATATTCGTTTTAGTCACCAATCCACAACTATATATGTATATATTGATGAATAATAAGTAGGATATGATAATATCCAAGTGCGTGGCAAAATAAAACCTGAGAAAGATGGGGAGAAAATGAATCATATGACAGAAATGGGGAAAGAAAATATATGATGTAAAGACAAGAGGAAATTATCCCAGGGAGCTATTGTCTTATTCGTGCGCTGGATGTGACTAATGACGTTCGCTTACTAATGTGTCCAAATTCGTCAAGCTAAGTACACTCTTCATTTATACCGCTTCTATAAGGAGGCTGTATAGTTATTAGAAATAGCAGAACTAAAGGCATATATAGTATAGGACATCTTTTTTAAATAGAATATAACTTATTAAGTTTTTTACATATTCAATAGGTTTTTTTTTTCGTCATTTTTTAAATGTCTATTGTTTTCATAGTTTGTTTTTTTTTGTATACAATTATTAGAAATCTTATCCTCCTAACTTGCTCAAGAATCATCAACAATAACGCTTTGAATATATTCTTTCTTTTTATAAACCTTCCGGATTACAACAGGATTATATTAGTCTTGATTTCATTTTTAATTTGCTTGATATGGACAATAAAATGTCCCACCATTCAGTTCAATCAAATTCTAATATGATTCATGGAGTTGATCATCATCATATATTTTTGTTTATGCAGTACATCATGTCTTTTTCTTTTTCATGGAGAAAAAACAGGAACGATGACGTAATATCAAGTATCGCGAATCTCTTCGTACTCAATATGTACGACTTATATAAACGAATCATAACACTCAATACTACTACAATGTCTATCGAGCAATATAAGGATATACGCATGTATTTTTGTTGTTGTTATCTACAGGTTCTCTCTTTTTTCTGTTTGTTGAAGTGATGATCGATGAAGATTTGCGAGGAACAGATAACAGAATTTAATGGTAATGAGAATTTCGATAGTACGTTGTGTGATCCTATTGGATATACCAACTTTTCCATCTTTGCTAATGGTATATTTAGTCTTGTATTTTGTTTATTTTATCCATTAATTTTTTTCCATAATTTACAGTCTTAATAAAAAGATGATCATCTTTTGAGTTTTGATTCTGCATTAATCGTTGAACTAGACAATGATTCTATTCCTGTTACGTTGTCATGTTTGTCCGTAGTAGTATTAGTGATAATAATCACAATAACGAACGTTTTCAAATTATTGATTTCGTATGTTCCTTGATAAAATCAATACAACTTGTTTATTATGTTTATTAAATAGTATCCATCCAAATAATGGTTTACCAAAGTCTGGAAATAAACTTTGTGAAAAGCCGAAGTTTACGTACAGAACCACCATGTACTACACGAAATACAAACGACAATTATCAAAGTTCATGAAACAATGTAACTGCGATAAATCAAAGTTCACCATGAATACTAAACTTAAATTATTCTCAATTCCAAATGCAATCCATTGTAGAATGAAGAAAAACATTAATTTGATCGATTTCTTTCGAGTGCATTGATAATAGTTTGTATATGATGTTACAAATGGTAAACTAACTTCATCTTACCAATGCTCCCTTAGATGCTTAAATTCCTCTTTAGGTGATGTTTATACCAGTGGTGTTAAGAAAGAAAAAAACATTCATCTTGATTGTCAGCACCGATGAAAAGCAGACCTTTAAATCTACTAGTAGTTCAGTTTGATATCTAAGCATTTCATTATTAATTTGTAATTGAAGCTAGTAATATTAGGTCATTTGAATGATATCAGAATCATCCGAAGAATTGTGATATAAATTTTTTTCTTACAAAAAAGAAGTAAACTAAACGATTTTTTAAGTATATTTCAAAATATATCTTTCAGTTCTATCATATGTAGATATGTAGGTGTTGAGTTAAAATTATAAACTGCAAAATAGGTCGATACGAATTAAATTTTTACGTAAGTAGATTCTATGAGAAGAGAACGGGCAAAAAAAAGAGATGACAACATCTGGATTTATAAATTCTTAACAATCTATTACGCAGTATAAAGAACTATTCATCAAGTAACTGATAAAACCACGACAGCTTACTATATCTGATATTGCCATGTGATCATTTTCCGTTTGGGAGTGTAAAGGAACAAGATTATAACTCAAAGAAAAACCACTTGCTCTCAAGCACAAAACAGCTAAAGAATATAACTGTTTTTCTTCGTTTTTTTGTTAGTGTGTTTTCGCGTCCTGTTAGCATATTTTGTAATATATTTTATCAGTTAAGACCTTTGATTAATTTTTGTAATTTGATCCAATAAATATACGATTTAAATCTATCTTGAAGATTTATGTGTCGTCATCAATCAAGTAAATACTATCATTGTCAATGAGATACATAGGAATTGACTAGCTAAGATATTATTCTACTGAAACGAAATGTGTGCACATATACAATGAAAAAAACTTAATCACAAGTTGTCAATAATTAAATAATTTTCGAACTGAAACTCATTATCGAAAATTGATCGTGATGAGTCCGGAAAAATCTGAGAATGCAGTTTAATGATTATTTCAAGTTTAGAATAATTTGCATGAAGCAATACGAGAACATAAAGTCTCAATATTAATTCTACAGTCATTAATGCGTAAGAAACTATATATATCATCGATAGGTTTCGACTTTGACAAGATCTTTTCTTAATATGGTTTATTATGAATCTAAATCCTTGTAAATAATCAATGGAAAAAGTAATTTAAAAAAGAAATTTCTATGTTAATCTCTTAGGCAATATTATCGAAAATTATTAAATGATTTTAAAGTGAAAGAAAGATGTTACACTAAATACTGTCTACTGATTAAGATAACAAATAAAGTTGATGTAATCTATTATATTTGAGATCAACTATATACCAAATTATAGGAAAATAATACAAGTTAAATTAGATTGTTCTACGATAGATAAAACTTCCTACGTATTTTAGTAGAAAATTGAAACAAAAACTGACTAATTTATCTAACTTAATAATATCTGATGTTGCTGGAACGAATTCAGCCATTATTATAAAATGATGATCGAACAGAATGAACAATAGAATCAAAATATTATAATACGGCATGTGATTATCTATGTATTGTGCTATGTTAAATTTATAAAATGAATTTGTCATGTAAAAATTTTTTTCTTCTAAAAACTAATCGATCATTAATTTTTATTGTTTACATTCTCAACTATAATTGTCAGAATTTTTCAATGAACAATACTTTAATTCTTAGAATAATTTAAAAATGAAAAAGAACATTCATATCAAAACTTTTTTAGGAAAAAATAGTTTCTTATAGCTTAAAATTTTCTTATCCTATGTTATTTATCGTCCAAGTCATAATAATATTCAAATCTACTAGATTCTTCGACATGTTTTGGATGATATAATCCTATATATAACTTCCGAGCAAGACCAATAAAATTCAATAGGGATCAGTAGATTCTTAGAATAGCTAAATAGCAAAAGAATGTCGTATAGTATAGCCCGAATAATGATCAAGAAAAAAAGCCAGAATTCTCATCATTCAAATATAATTAATATTTAAACTATATGCCAAATAATTCATTTTCGACATTGTTGAACAAATTGTGTCTGAGACAATTCTTGGTTTTAAATTATTTATGTATATTGTCACATTTATCTATATATATATTCATTTTCATTTATTTATTTTTTACTTGTATTATCTTTCAAGAGTGCATTTTTCTCATCATTTTCAACTGTCTTGTTGCATATGGATCAATAACATCAATTATTTTATTGGATTTCTTTCAAGCGAATATAAGAAAATTATATGTATATTCACCCCCATCAAGATCGACTTTTGTAGGAGAATTCATCTGTTATATTGTCCTAAAACATTTGAATGCTTTGCCAAAACAAGAACACATGAATGAATAAGAAGAAAAAGTTCGATATGTAATGCAAATAAGCGACATTTAATCAATGAGAAGATGGAACCGATCGTTATGTGAAACAACAATGACAATGCAAAACGAAAAATAAAGATATTCTGACAAGAAAATCTTCTAAGCTTTGATTGCGTATTCAAAAAACTTACAAAAAAAATTCAGTTTTTTGCTTTATTCTCATTGTCGATTTTGTCTTATTCCATGTGTTGATGAAGACAAACTATTTATTTGATGATGTTAAAATGGACGAGTTATGATAAAAAGTTTGACAAAAGATGATTTTCTCTTCGAGTAAATCTATATTCTTAGCTTAAAAATATCTATCATGTCGAAAAGAGAGTATTACTACATAAAAACCAATCATAAAAAGATAAACATATTAATATGTGCTACTTTGATAATTAAATGAAAATTCAGTGTACAGATTTTGGAATATAAAATTGTCTTTAATTATCTTGATTATTCAATATGGGATGAATAACGTCTGATTTTATGATTTACAACAATATTTCCCACTAGATCCACAAAAAAGGCATCAATTCTTAAGTTAAATCGTTTTTTTTTGACATAAGTCTTTCATTTAAGAATATTGACAATTCGATCTTTGCAATCCTTTTTTTTTCATGTCGCTTTATTTTTATGTCCATAAAATCAGCCATGGTAAATTGAAGCCACGAGTAAATATTCTTAGTTATCAATATAAAAAACCCTGCTTCTTTCGAGATTTTTATTTTATTAAAATATTTTCTTCTATATTGAAACGACGATAAGATGTGGATCTATCTCATTTTCATTCTAACTCTCTCAATTAAAATAGTTTATCTTCAAACTTGTTCAAATTTTGAAGATGGTATTGATCGTTCTGGACCATGGTATGCTTATATTCAAACAATATCATCGGTCGGTGCATGTTGTGATCTATGTAATGCTGAAGGTACAAAATGTCAATCATGGGTATTTGTTCGTACGGGTACTACTACTGCACCTGGCTGTTATCTTAAACAAAATATTCCATCTATTAATGAAGCTTCAAATTGCAAACAATATTGTACAAGTGGTTTTAAACAAACATCATTGATAATTAGTGGTCGATGTGCATATCCCGGTGGAATATTTGAATTAGGTGTTGATCGACCAGGTAATACTTATGTTCGTTTATTGAATATTCCAAATCATCCGACTTGCTGTGCTATGTGTCAAATGGAAGGTGATAAATGTAGAGCATGGACATTTATTCGAAATGGTGCTCCAGGCAAAGAAAGTGGATGTTTATTAAAAAATCAAATTCCGTCGATAAGCAATGTTCCTTGTGTAGCATGTACATCTGGTACAAAATAGAATTTCAGAAAATAATCATAATTTAAAATAAAGTGAATAATATCTTATCATCATTATAATTTTGTTCGTGTTGAGTTACTAAAATCTTCTATAAATAACATTTCTTCCTAGGCTAAGAAATATTTTCAAAGTTAATCTATTGTTTTAGCTTCTTAGTACTTGATGATTAATGTGAGCATGCTTTTCAGAGTCAAATAAAAGTATAAACTACCTAAGAGAAAGATATAATTTACAAGACCTTTTGATCGAAATAGTTCTGTTAAAATGTCACTTTTTTAAAAATATTGTGTCTATATATTTGGTTGCATTTCGAAAAATCCAATATAAGTGCACATAGATAATCCTTTGTAAGATTTTGTGTTTCTTTATCATAAGCATTAAAAAAATGTTATACTCAATAGTTGTTATATTATTTTTATTCAATGGATACAATGATGCTCGAAAACTTATTGGCACTCATATAGTAAATAGATAATTATTGATGTAAGATGTTTTTATTGTTTGTTTGTTTTTTTCTTGATAAATAAAATAGTTAGTTCGCCATGGTGAACGTACACCTAGTTATCTATATCCAACAAACCCTAATGATCCATCTATTTGGTCAAATGGTCTTGGACAATTGACTGTTCGAGGAAGATTACAACAGATTTCTTTAGGACAATATATTCGAGAACGTTATTCAACTTTAATTAATTCTACTTATGTAGCATCTGAAGTAATTATAAAATTTAATTATATTATTTTTGATTTAATTTTTTTAGATAACAATTCGAAGTTCGGATTATGATCGAACACTTATGTCAGCTTATTCAAATCTTGTTGGACTTTATCCGTCATCAAAAAATTTTCAATTACCAGAAAATTTGCTTCTATCAAATGTTTGGCCAGAAACATTACCTTGGCAACCTATTCCTGTACATACTATTCCAAAATCTATGGATCATGTTTGTCATTTGCTTATGTTTTTTTTTTTTTTTTGAAAAAAATAATCGAAATTATTTTATTTTTAGTTGTTGACAGTTGGCTCTTGTGATCGATATGAAGACTTAGTTGATGAATTAAGAAAAAGTCCAAGAATTCAACGTTTGAACAATGAATTTCGAGTGAATTGAAATTTTTTTCTTTCATAAGATTTGTTTTTTACTTTTATTTTTTTATTCCAGGGTCTTTTCGAATATCTCGAAAAACATACAAATCAATCCATAGCTGATATCTTTATTGCATGGGATATTGCAGATACAACCCTTATCGAAGTATTAATGGATGACATATGTTTTTTTTAAAGAAAAAAAAAACAAAGAAATAGATTTAATATTTCATAGGCTGTTTATAATGTAACTCCAGCATGGGTTACTCCACCGATTCTTCGACAACTTCGTCAAGTATCAGATTTATGTTTCTATCATCTTCTTTATTCATCTGAAATTAATCGACTACGTGGTGGTATGTTGCGAATTGTTATTTTTCTATTTTATTTAATAAAAAATATATAGGACCATTATTACATGAAATATTACAGAATATTGAAAATTTAATATCAAATAATGAAAAAGGACGAAAAGCTAAAATTTATTTTGGAGTATTTTAAAGACTAAAAATAATTGTTAAATTATTGTTTTCTTTTCTTTGCTTAGCATGATGTAACAATTTCTGCTGTTCTTGCTTATCTTGGTGTTAATTATGTTCATCAACCACCATTTGCTAGTGGATTATTTTTTGATCTTTATCAACAAGGTTTTTTTTATTTTACTCTAACGAGAATAAATGAATATTCTTTATCTAGATGATAATTCATATGCAATTCAACTTGAATATTTAAATATGACAAATAGTCGAAGTACACATATAATGATACTACCAGGTAAAAATTAAATAGAGAATACTTTTTCTCTTCTTCATTTTTTTTATGTTGAATATTGATATATTCTGCAGAATGCTTTAATCCAATGTGTCCATTGGATACATTTATTCAATTATATAAAGCAAAACTACCCAAAGATATGGACAAAGAGTGTCAATCGATTAAAATTCAACGTAAGAAACGATTTAATAAAATTGAATGATTTTCGTAAGTGTTTTTTAGGTGTATATCCACGTATTCATCATGTTTCTTTTTCATCAAAATAATCGAACGTTTTTCTTTTTATCAAACTAACTGAAATAAATCTTTCTTCTTTAATTATCATTAATAACTAATAAATATTGTCTATTCTTATAAATAGTTGATATCTTCATCAGTTCATATCGTATGTTTTTGTCTTAAATTGAAGTCGATTGGAGAATATAATCGAATACGAAGCATCAAAATATCATCATTGAATTGCTCATCATATTTGTAAATTTGAGATCAACTATTCATATCTGTTAGAGAAAACAACGTGTCTCTAACATATAGATAGTTATCTTTTTCATAAAATTTATTTTTCTTCTTCAACATTGGATAGAAAAAACGATTTTTTTTTCTGAAGAGTTTTAACTTTACACAAATATATAGTCGTATCGAAGTTGCTTCACTTGAACTAACTAACAAATAAATACTAGTGAATTGATGATAGTACAAGCAATGAATAAAATCAGAATCAGGGTGTGGGTGTAAGTGCGGCTTAGATAGAAACATCCACATCGATATCGATGCCTACACTCCACTCTAAGCAAAGTATGCAAAGACCTTGATCATCATTTTATTGATGAAATAAGAGTGAATTATTTATCGAACAAAAATCTATCAAGTATTTAACTTCTTATTTTATTTTAGTAATAAATTATAATGATGTGATTAACATTTTTCTTAATCCTATTGTTGTTTTAATGACTACATATTCAGAAAATATAAAGACAACAACTGAAATGTCATTACCATCAACAAATATACTAGGTCTGATTGATGAGGTTGTTATTTAAAGGTAAATGTTGGACATATATTGTTAAGAAATAAATGACAAAAACTAGTCGATGAAGTTTTACACAACGAGACGGTAGAGAAACTAGACAAAAAGTACGTTCAACATGCACTCATAGTAATCAATGTTTATTGACAATGAATTGTAATGACCGTTGTACTTTTGTTGAAAAAAGAGATAAAATTAAAACTAATAAACTTATTTGTTAAATATTTTCTTCAATATACGTTGTATATTCCTTTCATTAGTAAATAAAATTATTTTACAATAAAAGAAAATCGTTAACCAATGTTTGCTGAATTTCCGGTTCTTATTTAAACTCGATAAAGTAATATTTCTTTAAAAACACTTCAATAATCAAATTGATTTATCCGAAATATGAAACAAAAACTTTCAATATATTTTATTATTTTTTAACAATATCTATCATTTATTAGAAGAACATTGCTTTATTTTTATATTCTATACAGGTATCATCGTTTAATAGCTATATTCTTATTTTGACACTACACAGATTTATTCCTTTTATTCTGATTTGTAAGAAAAGTATTCAAATTGACCATTATTGATATTTGTTGTATCGATCAAAGAAGAAATTTTTTTAAACTAAAAGGAAAAACTTTATTCGTTTGTTTTTTTCTTAATAATAATCAATATGATTACAACAATAGATTGTCTACACAATCGTGTGTTTCTAATACGTAACCGTTTTAATAGACCATAATGTTGTAAAAAAACTGCAGGGAATTGTTTTTTTTTTGTTATAAAATAGCGAACTAGTGAATATTCGGTGTTACACTCTTAGTAAGTTTGAATTTCTAGTTACACTCGATTGAACAAATTGAACAGAATAAAATATTCAATCGATACGAAATCCTACGAGTTCTATATTACTACTTAACGCAGGATTTCATGATCTGAATAATGTTCAAGAATTGTTGAAATCGGTTTATTTTAATTACTTTATGATTTAAATGACATTCAAATCAGAGCGAAGCATTAGATAGAACGGAGAAGTTAGTTCTGTATTTGATATAATTATGTTCTGAATTTTTTTGCATAATGCGTACTTTTATCACTGATAAATGACATATATTGAGAATGAAGTCATAGAATGGCTGTAACAATCTTCTCTCATCCAGAGTCTTACATCATCATGCACTCACAACCTTGCCAACATCATAATTGCTAAATTAATATGTACTTTGATGATTGAAAATCAAAACGAGTATTTTTGTTGTCCTGTTTTATGTCTTGTTCTGTCCTGTGTCACAGAAAAGAACAAAAACAGCCTGTTCTCCGCCCCGCCCTGTTTTACCATCTGAATAGTATTAAATTTTTAATGTTTTGCTTTCAAGAAAATTAAAATATCTTTTTTTCAGTTTTCTACATATGATCATTCAACGAAACATTCGATAAACAAACACTCTTCAAACATATAGTTATATAAAAAATTGAGTGACAAGTATTTTAAAACAAAATAGATATTTCACATGCATAATATGGATGATAATATTGATGTTTTTAATGCATCCTAGAAAAAAATTTCTACTAAAAATTTTCAAATATTAAATGTTAATAAACTAAATGAATATTCAACATTGATAAAATACAGACATTTCCATTAGAACAGTACTGTCCTTTTTGACACTTAACAGATTTATTAATCCTATTTCCAAAATATTATATATTTAATAGTGTAGTTTTTAGTATTTGTCTAAAAAAATGACTGAAGAATTTTTTCTAAACTATACCTTGAACAATACAAACTCTTCATTAACTAATAGCACAAAAAATTCAACAATACCGACAGTATATTCACTTGGTCCAGGGTTAGTTGTAGCATCTTCAATATCTATTGTTATTGGAACATTTTTCTCAATAATTTCCATATATCGTTATTTACGAAAACCAAATCTTCGTACTTATTTTACTTATATTGTAAGTTTATATTTAATTTTCAAAAATAATTTTCTCAACATAATTTTATTTTTAGTTTCATTATATGTTAATTTATTGTCTTATAGCATCATTCATAAATATACCAATATTTCTAACGGGATTTTATTTACATTTATTTGAATACTCCTATCGTTTTTGTCAATATTATAATGTAAATGCATTATCAGTTAATATAGGTATGGTTACATGTTTAGCTTATACCAGTTTAGAACGTCATTCATTAATATTTCGTCAAAATGGACTTCTTTCATGGCGTCGTCAAATTATACCTATAATATGTCTTATATTCTATTCATATTCAGTGTCAATGTTAATTGTATTTATTCCTCAATGTGAGTATATTCCATGTATTCCTTGTCATGCAATACATTTACAATATATGCTGATATGGTTAACAATTAGTTTTATGATACCTGAATTAATTATGTTTATTTCAACAATTATACTTGTAATACGTCTTTATCGACAAGGAATTAATTTAAAAAGTTCGAAAGATAGAAGTATATTTTATCGAATTTTTCTACAAATGATATTATATATTATTTGGTCATGTTTATATTATTGTCCACCAACATTTTATAATTTAGCTGCAATTATTAAGTCAGAACAGTTTTCACCATCAATGAAATCAGTAATGATGATTATTAATACAATAACTGTTCAATCTTATTCAATATTAACATTTATTTTAATGACAAATTATCGTAGAAAAATTACAAATAAAATTACAAAACAACTATCAAATGAATCAGCAATAAAAACTAATCGTTTATCAATAACAATTGAACCACCAATAGTTCAATAATTTTAAATTATTATAAATAAAATTGTTGTCAGACTCAGTACTTTCAAACTAATTGATTACAGTTTTTCTAGTGTATTATTTAGTGAAAACAATTTTTGATTTACCCCTTTCAATCTCCAGATCGAGTTTTGAGGATTTAAATGTTTGTAAACAACATTGGGACACAAAATTCAAAGCACCGTTTTTGAGCGAAAAATTCTTGTAGATGTTGACCTCTTGTAACATTTAGAGTGCATATTCCAAATTCGAACGGAATTTTTGTATGCTTACGTTTCATTTCCACTATTTTTGTCAAATAGTGGGTGAGGAAGAGCAAAATCAAGTTCAATATTTTCACTAGCAAAAATGCCACTTTTTAAATTTATTTATTTTAATTTTCATTCATTATGAGAATAAATAATTTAATAGAATTTAAATACAACTATCAAGCTTCAAGAATTACTTCTAAATAAGAAAATACAAAAGCTAAAAAAGAAAATTGCTTTAGCTCTGAAGTCGATTTTAATATTTAACTCAAACTTAAAAAACCAAATATCGTTTGAATTATTATTTAAGCTATGATCACGAAGCATAATTGGAAGTGATCAACAGATTCTAGAATGTTAGAATGAAGAAATCAATGAGAGTAATATAATAATTTCACTTTCGTATTGAAACTTATTGGCGCTGGTCGTAGTGGATTCAGTTAAATACGATTAGCTACCTTTTTATTGTTCAGTTTTTCAATACTGGGATGGGACTAGTATCTGTTATTTCTTTACCATATCGTTGTTTAGTGGCTAATGTTTCTGCTTAACAGGAAGTATCTTTGTTAGCTTTTTCAACAGTTTAGTATAGTTGATAAGACAGTCTGATTCATGATTGAGTAGTTCTGAGCAGAGATCGCCTCCTGTTCACTCAGATCGGGTTACGAAAAAAAAATAGCTCGTCTTGTACGAGGTCCGGTCGGATTACGAAAACAATTTTGGATCTTGGGTTGAATCTTCAGTCTGAATATTATACAGATACAAAAGGCACTTTAATTTTTTTTTCAATCTAGGAGTTGCATCATGAATGGTGAAGAAGTTTCTTAGAACAATAAGTCATGTATCGTACACTCTTATCTCCCATTTCACGAATTTTTCTTTATTGGTATGAGGCAGATGCATAGCGAGTACACTGTCTCTTCCATGGCGAAACTGAGATGTCAGATTGTATATATAAGAAACGAAAGACATACAAATGAAAATTCTATTACATAATCCTGCTGTGTCAACTGTCGAATATCGAAGAAATACACTCGTTAGGGGTAATTCGGATCAAAAATTAGAAAATCGATTTTGTTTTTATTCGCTCTCAATCATTGTATGTCGTAACAAGGTGATTTTTGCAGTGCAACTAGAACAAACTGTCCTCTTTATAGTGCTGAAAGAAGTTTTTAAAAACCTTTTACTGGAAAAAAGTTATAGTTAAAATGGCAAAAGACTACAAGTGCTGATCCGAATTACCCCAAATGGGGTAATTCGGATCAGTCAGTCAATCTAGTTGGGGTAATTCGGATCACTCCAGCAAAAATGTATAGAACAAATTTTCCCAACTCATAACACATTTTTTATCCATTATTATATNAAATAGGATTAATAATAATCAAGTAAAAGAAAAAAAAGCAAGCAATCGATCAACAAAATTACTTTTTACCTTTTTCATTTGAATAAAATTGTGACTTATCATATAGTATTTGATCATCTTAAGCAAAAACTTATGCAAAAAATGAACGTGCATGAGATCCAGCTCGACGAATATCTTTTATGTACAAAGTAATACTTATGATAACGATAATCAGTAAAACTTATTTCTTATTATTTAGTTTCATCATTTACAGAATTAAATAATAGTAGACAACAAGCAAGAAGAAATAGAATTTCTATTTAGTAAAGAAAGGTCCATTCATTATGTGAACTTGAACAGAAACGATCAATATATACTAGAGTAATATATCTGGATGATAAACATAGTAAAATAAAAATGAAATAATTTTGTAGTTTACAACAGATTCTTGATGAATTAGTATAAGAATAGACTGTAGAACTTGAATTTTTGATGAGTTCCATTACAAGAATCACGTTCATAAGAAAAAAAAATCAGTCATTGATGATGAGAGAAAATACAGCAAACAAGGGTTACTATAATATTATCTTTGAAAAAACGTAATAATATTAAATAAAGAGCGAATAGCCCCACATATCTATAAAATAAGAAGCATATATTCGTTCATTATTGGAAGAATAATGAAAGTTTGCACTAAATAAGGCAATTATTCGACTGTCGTATTTGAAGAATTAGCAATCTTTCTTTATCCAAACTATATTCTTCTTCTGCAATATGAATGAATTTAAAAGTTCTGCTTATATTCGTAGAACAAGAGCTAAAATTGCTAAATATCGAAAGCAACATAGCAAAAGTTAGAAATCCTTGTAATTCATAGATGAAAACATTTTTCTAAATTTTGATTAACAGAATATAGTACAACACTCATATGTACAACACAATAATGAAGATGAGAACAAAATCTGTGATCAGAAAAAAATTTAGAATTTCGCCATTTTTCTTTTCAATATTTTCATTTTTGCAATTTTCACATTCGACATTTGACGACCAAATTGAATAAACTATCAATGTAATTACAACCATGGATATATAATCATAAAAGGTAGTTTCTAACCGCAAATGATATTTGCTTCTGTTTATTTTTGACTTTGTCGAATAGTATGAGTCGAAATTATACACATTTTTATCTCACGCCAAAATTCTTTATTTTTTTGCTTTTTGTAACAAATTGATAATATTTGTAGATCATTTCATCAGGCAATCTTCATATAAACAGCAAAATAAAATTGAAACCGTAGTATTATAATGGAGTAATCTTTCTAACATAGTCTAGAATTCCAAATACAAGTCTTTTTGTGTAAATTAATTGATTTTTGTCTAGTAAGCTGTAAATCACATAAGTGTCTCAATATAACTATGCAATGGATACCCTTTAATTACACAAAAGCTGAGGAGATCCGTTCTCGAGAAGTATTTTTATGCTATGTGGATAACATTTCATCATACTGTGTTGCATGTTCTAATTATAGTTATCCTTATTAGGTCAGACACTTGATACATGTGTCCTATAAATTGATCTTATCTTTGTTAAGTCTACAGTGTATTCTCTAGTTTTTGTTGATTATATTCAGCAACATTCTCATATTTACTTCCATCATTTTTCTTTCTGTTTCACGAGCAAAGAGAATACTTTGAACGATTCGGGGAGTCTATTGTTATTTACAAACTTAAATCATTGTGCAGGCAACATTTCTCTCTACTGTGACATGAAGATACAATGTGTATCAACATTTGATCAGTTTTTGACAAAAAATTGTCTAGAAGTTTCGCCAACACCAAGAAGATATAAGCTTTCCAATAATTCTAGGAATTCAAAACCTAAAAAGCGTGTGCGTTGTTACTAAAATAAATGTACATCGTCATAACAAAATGCATCTTGAACTTAACGTGTTCTATTGGAATTATTTATAATGGTGCTTGTAGATCCACAATTCTAACTGGAAATTTGAAGAGATTTTGAAGCATATTACGTATTTTTTTAAGATTTAAACCAACAAAATAGATTGAAAAATTTTGGAATTTATAATAGTGAGAAAGAACCATGTCAAGATTTTCAGTATTATTGAGAATGAAGGCAAGATTAACGAACGAAGAATCCCAGTGATATAATCAACATAAGATACGGCGTTGTCTTCATGTATGAGGTCAAGTTCATTAATAATGTAAGTGCTTTATTCTTCATTGCAATGGAGCGTGTCATTGAGCTAGGCATACATGCTCACTTTCACTGATTGTGACCGGAAGAGATCAAAGTAATCATCAACTTGGAAAACGATTTCTCTCGATTTCTGGACTAAAGCATCATACGTTACATCAAAATTATGTGCAATCCGCATAATGGACATCGATGTGAAGGATTGATAATCTCGTATGATCTGTTTGGTATTGTATCGAGATGACAATCTGGTTCTTTTGACAGAGCTTGTTCAAAAATGAAATTTTCTCAAAGGATATTATGAACACAAAATATATCATGAAAGTCGGCTAAGTCTAGTAGAATCTTGATTGTCTAACATCAAGGGAGACTGAAAGTGAGATATATAGGAGAAGCGTTTTTTTTTCGCATTACATTTCAAATATGGCCTTGTTTATATTATCCATTTGTAGTATTTTGCCATGTGATTCGAGAAATCTAGATTTAAAGTTCACTTTTCCTTTACATTGTGATTCTTGAAGTCGACTTCGGATATTTTGTACGTGGGTTTCTCATACAATCTGTAAATCGATCGATCATAAAGGGCATTGAAACTTGTTCTTTTTCTGCTTTAGTCTAGTAGTTGCATGGTAGCTTTTCAAGGCTTAATCACTTTGAATTGTGATACGTTTTCTTTATAGTTTACCGTACTTTTCTTCTGCGTTTACGAATATTAATATATATACTGAAATTTTTTTTCATTCAAAATGTTCTTTAGAAAACTCACGATCTTAACCTCAAAACAACTTACTACAAACATTGGGCAAACGTCACATTCAAAGCTTCGTCTCAGAATCTCACTAACTGTTTTATTGTCATATTTTATGATACTATAATGAAATCATAAAGAATTAATTATCAATAATTGTCTTCATGTCTTAAGATGTCCATGATAGAATTGATATTCTTGACCAATGAATCAGATTGATCAGTTTCCGTTTCAGTGTTCCTCGAAATACCTGACTGGATAAGGTGTTAAGATAAAATGTTTTACAATAATTTAGAAACCAAAACCAACGTGCTATATAAGTAAATATGACGTACAACAGAAGAAGCAATTGATTAGTAGGTACATTATTAAAGAAGCCATTGATATAGAGTCCCGTGTAGGGCGTATTCAAAAAAATTGTTACAATCGATTGCACTAGGACCATGACTA